AGTGGATTTAAATCAGTCCAGCTTAGAAAACACCAGAGTTTTAGCCGAGAGAAGTTAGAAGTTGATTTCAGGAGTAAGTTTTTAGTTTCCCACCTAATGTTATCCCAGTCCAGAAAAACCAGTCACTGCAATAGTGATGTTTTCCCTCATATATGGAATTTCTTAGCAAGGACAGTTTGGGCTAGAGAACTTCAGTTTGTTAGACTTGAAACATTTAGGTGATCAGACTTGTGAAAGGTTCCTGTCATCAGAGTGAGGAAACAAATTATACAATTGTCATCACAATTCAAGAGAAAGCAACTGGAAGGAGACAATTAAGCAGAAACTTTAAGCGTGTAATACGAGTATAATTTCTTTGGACTGGAGTGTTTAGGAAAGTCACTGTCATGAGCAGTACTTCCTGTGAAGAAAGTGGAGGATATTAAGGCGCAGAGTGAAATCTTCAAGATTCAATGAGAACCATCTGCTGGACATGCTCTGGAAGTCATCAAGCTAGCAGTAACACTGAATCTGAGAAACCAGTATCCTGCTCAAATCATATGATCTAAACAACAAGATTGAACTCTCCAGGTACTGCAGGTAGCTGTAATGAAAGAATGGCCTAGAAGCATCAAGGACACAACTATTGCTATAAGCGAGAGTAATGGGCATACAAAGAAGAAGTGATAGCCCAAAACAGCATCTTGTACAAATGAAACAGTCATTATCCATAGGAGATGAGAAAAGAGATACTGAAGAATACTCCTGAAAGCCATTAAGGAATTGAGTCTGGACTGAGAAAGGCACGAAACCGCTTTACCAGTCAAACGTGAGCAATGAGATTAAGGACCACATCAGCCAGTGCAGTGATTATAATAAACTCCAAGCTAAACAAATGAAAGGGCTGCTTATGATACATAGACATCCCAGACAGATCACAAATGAAGCTTGGAACAGACCTCTTCACTTTCACCAAAACTAATTACCTAGTCATAGTCAACTACAATTTTGACTACTGGGAGTTAGACCAGAAGATGTTAATGGCTACAAGTGAGATTGTAGAGTGCCTGAAAGCACACTTCAACTATTATTGCACTCCAAACCCTGCAGTGAATGACAATGGTCCTCAAAGCATGTGTGAGAAATTCAGTTTTTGCAAAAAATTGAGAAAATCAGCACTGTACATCATCTCCACAGTCAATGGAAAGGCCAGTGAAACTCTCTAAAGAATTAGAGCAAATCCAACACCAACTTGCACAAGGCAATCCTTGAGTGATGAAATATGTCTGTTGAAGGTAAGACTAGCAGTCCAGTCAAAAAACTAAAGTCACACTGCATACAAACTATTATTCTAATAGTGAAAAAACTACTGAAACTGGATGTAATAATAGACGTGGGAAACAAAATTAAGGCGAAATGAAAGAAAGCTAAATTTCTCTTTGTTGAAAGTTCTAAGTCATTGCTAGATTTCAGAATTGGAGTGCCATTCAGAGTACAAACATTCAATGATAACAAAAGTCAGCCAATGTGGCAACTTAGAATATGTAGAGAACAGTTGTCGTCTGAATTCAATATGGAGAACATGAATGACAGACATATGTTCGCCACTGCCGATACCCATGTATAACTAAACAAGCTGTACCTTCACTCCAGGCAGTAGATTGGGAAGAAGTGGTCTCACTTACAGCAGAGTACACAACAATAACACCATGTTGACCATTAGCTGTATCAAGTTGAAAGCTCGAAACACAAACCTGTGCAGATCTCCGATATTCTGAAAGCATTCTGCTTGCTTTATATAGGATTAATCTTTTGTCCAGTCCCGATAAAACAAATGAACAGCCAAGGAGTGGACATCACCTATGCTTGTATTTCCTATTGCCTGGATTGCAAGTTGAAGCAGCATGCCAAGTGAGTGGTGACTTGCAAGCTAATTAAAGGTAATTTATGAATCTTGCTAATGAGGCCAACATCAGATGTCAGTTTTAAGTTTTATTTAGTTTTGGTAGATCAGCTTCTTAGCTCAAAGGGCAATTAGGGTGATTGGTAAATTTGACCTTGGGCCTTATTTTAATTATGGGCTGCCAAACTACAGCACTGGTAGCGCTTACATATGTGCAACTCATGTAAATGAGATCCGAACCTGTTGATTTGCAAGCTCTGGCACTGGAGTACACCACTGGATGCAATCTGCTGAGGATCACTAAGGAATTTCAAGGCTTTGTGTCTTTTTCATGTAATACACGCAGGATAATTATCCTACTGGCTGGTGTTTGTGATGGCAGTCTACTGCCCAGTACATTGGTTACAGTCATTTAGCAGGCATTCAGGATGTGCCACTGAAACTGGTGGGAGGTTGGCTGTATATGTACAATGGCTTGTTAATCCAGTTGTGTGGCCACATTTATTCTGTTACACCTTTTATTTTATTTCTTTATTTTTCTAAGTTTTCCCCCCTAAGTATTTGTACTTATGCATCTGTACCTAGGTACCTTGCTACCTAAGATTGAGCCATAGTGGTGACTTGTAAAGTTTTCACTGTGCTCATGTGAGTACATGTGACAATACAGCTAATTCTTGATTCTGTAGGAGAAATTATTTCTGCACACAGAATTTTCTGAAAGCTCCATTGGATTACAATGAAGGGAAAATTACATACTGCAGCTAACATACCTGCTTGACTCAATCGTCTTAAATTCCTTTTTCTGCCTAAGCAGAAAAAAAGAGAAAGATCTTGCGACTTCAAATATCTCAAAGAAAAATCTAGAGGTTGTGTATGGCGTGCAATTTTCAGAAAGTAATGCAGGTAAATGCAGAATTCCTTTGTACCATGCACCATTTGTAAAAAGATCATTGGCAATTACACATTTCTGCTGCACAAAAGAAAAAAATTAGGGAAATAGCAGGAAAATATTTTGAAAACACCACGCACCTTGAAACATACTTGAACCTTGAATTGTCTACTGAATTTGAAATGAGTTTTGGACATTCCAGGTGCATGTCCTGAAATAACTTAACAGTTGTGGCCTTAATGACCCTTTCATACAATGTACACATAGACAACCACTCTGTGGCACAGTGGTAGAATCCCTACCTCTGGGACAGAATATCTGGGTTCAACTATCACCTACCGTGCAAGAATATCATAACATAGCTAAACAACTTGATTGAAAACTAGAGATAACAAGGTGCAGAGCTGGATGAGCACAGCAGGCCAAGCAGCATTAGAGGAGCAGGAAGGTTGATGTTTCGGGCCTAGACCCTTCTTCAGAAAAGATTGAAAACTATGTCTTTTAGATGAGCATTCAAAGGGATCTTGTGGCAAGTGGTAGTGTTCCAACCATCTTTGGGGTAGGTGGTCTGAGTTCAAGTCCCACCTGCCATAGAGACGTGTCAAAATATAACACAGCAAATTGACTTAAAATATTTTCTTTGTTGGCCAAGCCCTTAAATTGTTTCCAGGTTACATTAATTTGTTCTTCAGTGCAGAGCAGGCTCCTAAACTTTATGTCTGATGAAGCCAGCTTTAGATCAAGCGCAGTAACGCTACAAAAATAAAGGATTTTTTGGTGCCACACACTCAGTGCCAGATAAAACTGCATTAGTATATGCTGCTAATGTTCCAAAGAAGAGTCTTTGGACTTGAAACATTAACTCTGCCTCTCTCTCCACTGATACTGCCAGACCTGCTGAGTTGCTCAAGCATTTTCTATTTTTAATTGCTGATGTTATACTGTTTCAACAAAATGTTAGACCAATGAGCAGAACCTAAGAAGAAAAGCAGATGTTCACCCAAATTGAACAATTTCGTCTTGTTCGAGGATTTTTTGCAGACAAAACAACAATGATCACTTATTCACGACTCAATTCTACTCCAATTCCCTACAGAAGTACCTTGATCAATATTTAGACTTGAATTCCTGTAAAGTTTGCTACCTTCATGAGTACAATCTTAAATCTAAATAATAAAGTATTTTAGTAATATAGAAAGGACAAAACTAGACAAAACAATGCTTACTTTGTAATTTGTTATACTTCTGTTGTCAAGTTTGTAGGTGAACTTTGCCTTAAATAAGGGACTAATACTTTCAACAATATGAATGATTAGATCCTGCCAGCAAGTGTTAATCTAGTTCTCACTTCTCAGGGCTGTACATTTTGGACATCTCTTGCAATTTTTCAAGTAGTTTACTCACAGTTCATGATCAACAGGATCATTTTATACTCTGTCAACAGGCAAATGTAAATGTAGAATTCCAGGAGGTATACTCATCTGGTTAGAATACCAGGAGCTACTCCAAATTTATCACATTGGTGAATACACTAACATAGAAGCAGTGAAATATTTATTAAATGGCAATAGATGCGCTATCTATAATATCTTTAAGACTTTTTCAAAAATGATAGCCAGAGAAAGTTTTCCATTAAGAAATAAGAACTGTCCACTTTTATTAGGGCAATACTCTGTTAGTAGACTTTTTATTCACTGACTCCCACTGGTCTCTGATTGTAGGGGTTTCATTTTGCTTATTGTGAAAAGGTTGTTATACAATGAAAACAAGATCATTGACTTACTTGCTAAAAATTCAAAATTCTGGTGACATTATCCATAGCCTATGACTTGTTAAATCTCTTGAGATTTTTTGTTGCTGTTGTAACTGATAGATGGGTATTTCCGACTGTGGGCTAGCATATATAGTCACAAAATCTTAACATCATGATTTATGTTTTTTTCTTAATTACAATTAGTGGAATTAATCCTCTTATGCCTATTCATCATTTATAAAGCAGAAAGCTAATCATTTTGGAAATAACCAGGAATACTTAAAACTGTTTGAAATGCTATCCATGTGAAGTATTGTTCCTACAATTTTAGAATTTTAAATAATCCTTTGATGCATTCTCCACAGATTAATCTTCCTCTATTACTAACTCCTGGGAGCCAAAACATTTCATTCTGCAAAAAATGAAAGTTGAATCAGCATGAGGCACGACATACTTTCACTATTGATGAATCCTACCTTAAATTTGTCTACTTCAGTCTTTAAACATGTAGCATGATATGAAAGGACCTGCAATAGAATTAAACAAAATTAGGTGCTGCATATAAAATTGGTTCCAAAATCCTCTACAAAAAAGGTGCTCCTAAATGCAGATTATTATACAAGTGTCCTTGGAGGAAAATGTTGGAATTAAACAATGAAAGATCTTTAACACCCATGATGCAATAGCACAATGAATACCCGAATCCGTTCTTTATGTCAGGAATCTTGTCTTTATTTTTGCAAGGATGGTTCATACTGAAAAGCTATTAAAATATAATAAGCAATTATAACCTCATGTACAAATGAAAATATCTTGAATTCAGTGACTTTTCTATTGGAGCATGACTCTGATTTTCAATTTTCAGGTTTACAAATGGCAACACCTCCAAGCCACTCATCATCCTGGCTTGGAACTATATCACCGTTCCTTCATGTTGTTGGGTCAAAATTCTGAAATGGTCCCCCTAAAAGCATTGTGGGTCTACCTGCAGCACATGGATCGTAGCAGTTTAAGGCAGCAGCTTACCAACACCTTAAAGGGAACTAGGAATGGGAAATAATTACAACTAGCCAATGATGTCCACGTCCCACAAATGGATAACAAAAAATAGCGAGAGAGACACTTCCTCTGGAAGTCTGCAGGAGCCTAAATTTACAAGGTGGTGGGTGGAGCAAGATAGGACAAGCAACCCTGGTAGGAGACTCAATAGTGAGAAGCACAGACAGGCATCTCAATGGCTGCAAACATGACTCCAGGATGGCGTGTTGCGTTCCTAAGGCCAGGATCAAAGATGTCACTGAATGGCTGCAGGTATGGAGGAGGGTAAACAGTCAGAGGCTGTGGTACAAATGGTTACCAAAACATTGGCACCAATGACAAAGGTAGAAAGGAGGATGAGTCCTGCATCAAAAATTTAGGATGTTAAGAAGCAGATTGAAAAGCAGGACCTCAAAGATTTTAATCTCTGACTTGCTTATGGTGCCATCTCCTGGTGAGCAGGAGTGGAGGTGGGGGCTGGGGACTTTCGATTCCTGGATCACTTTCATTTCTGGGAAGGTACGGCCAGCTAGAACAACTAGTTGTGTCTCAATCGGAAAGGGACCAACATCCTTGTTAGGGAGGGGTTGCTAGTTTGCTTTTGGGGGTTTAAAATAATTTGACAGGGTATTGGTATTCAAAGTGAAGGTACAAAAGGAGGTGATGCACAATTGAGTATAGAGGAAAAGCCTAGTCAATCTGGAAGGCAGTGTGCGTATAGTCAAATTAAAGTATAAAGGGTCATACAGTTCTGAAGAGGAGTCATTGAAGCTGAAATGTTAACTTCACTTTCTCTCACAGATGTTTCAAGTTTCCAGCATCCTTAGTGCTTTCTTTCATTTTACAGGTCATGCAAGTTTGGTTGGCATTTATTGTAAGGCACAGAGTCTTGCAGGTAAGGCAGATGAGTTGAGGCTGCTGATTTATATCAATATGATACTATCATTACCTTACAGGAATGGTTGAGGGAGGAGCAACACTGGCAGCTCAGTGTTCTGAGATATGCAACCTTCAGGCAGGAAAGGGGAGGGTTATCTGTAAAAGGGGAGTTTGAGTGGCAATATTGATCAAGGAGTCAATTACTGCAATAAAGCGGGATGATATTTTAGAAGGCTCATCAATTGAGGCCATTTGGATCGAAGTTAAAAGCAAAATGGCAGCAATGACATTGCAGGGCAAGTACTACAGACGCCCAAACAGTTAGGATGAGATAGATGGACAGAAAAGTGTCAAAATAGTACATCAATAATAGTTGGGGATTTCAGCTTTCCCAATATTAACTAAGATAGACAAAGTGTGAAAGACTTAGTGAGTGTGGAATTCTTAAACTGTATCCAGCAGTGCTTTTTACATCAGCGCATAGAAAATCCTACAAGCGAGGGTATGATTCTGGATCTAATTTTAGGGAGTGAAGTCAGGCAAGTGGAAGAAACGTCAGTGGGGGAACCTTTTCAGGGTCAGTGACCATAACTCAGTTAGATTTCAGGTAGTTATGGAAAAGAACAAAAATGGACTAGAAGTAATAATTCTGAATTAGGAGAAGGCCAATTTTAACATGAAAATACAGAATCTGGCCAAAGTGAGCAAGGAGCAACTATTTATAGAAAAATCTACATCAGAGCAGTGGAAGTCATTCTAAAAAGGAAATAGTGAGGGCACAGGGCTGGCAATTTCCTGTAGAGGCAAAGGGTGGCACCAAAAAGTCTAGAGAACCTGGATGTCAAGGCATGTACAGAATTGGATAAAGAAAATAGAAAAGCTTATGGTAGATACTGAGGGCTCAAACTAATAGAAGACCTAGATGAGGATAAAGCTTGGAGGGTGTTACTTCAATCAGAAACTGGGAAAGCTAAGAGTGGGCATGAAAAACACTGGCAAGTAATATATGGGAAAATCCAAAGGCATTTGCTAAGTATATTAGGGGCAAATGGATAACCATGGAAATAATAGAGCCAATTAGGGACCAAAGTGGCAGTCTGTTTGTGGAGCTGGATGATGTAAGTTAAGGTTTAAATTAGTACTTTGCATCTGTACTCACTTTAGAGAAGGATAACATAGATATACAAATCAGGGAGGAGGGTCTGTGATATATTTGAAGAAATTATCATGAATAGAGAGGACGTATGAGCAGTTTTCACAGGCTAAGAGTGGATAAATCCCAAGGCCCAAATGAGATGAGTCCCAGAGAGGCAAGGGCAGAGATTGCAGGGGCTTTAGCATTAATTTTCAAATCTTCTCTGGCCATAGAGAGGTGCCAGAAGACTGGAAGATAGCTAATGTGGTACTGTTAATTCAACTAGAGTGATAGGGATGGATTATAAAACTACAGGTATGCAAGTCTAACATCAGTAGTAAGGAGACTATTGGAAAAAATTCTGAGGGACAGAATTAATATCCACTTCAAAAGGTATGGATCAATCAAGGATAGTCAGCATGGCTTTATCAGGGGAAGATCATTGAGGTTGTTGAAGTTGGTTGGCTCGCCGAGCTGGTTTCTTGTTTCGCAGACATTTCGTTACCATGCTTGGTAACATCTTCAGTGCAGCCTCCCATGAAGCGTCGGTGTGTTTTCCCGCCGGGTTTTTAAACTCTGGGGTCCGTTGCGATGGATTGCCTCACTTCTGGGTGATGAGTGTGTCGGGGACGTGTAGTCTCTTTCTGATGCCGTTCCTGTAGGCAAACAAGAGACTACACGCCCCGACACACTCATCACCCTACCCTACATCAGGAACACGTCGGAACTCACCACAAGACTCCTACGACTGCTGGGCATCAGAGTGGCACACAAGTCCACGTCAACCCTACAACAACTGCTCACCCAAACCAAGGACCCACTCCCCGCCATGGACAGGACCAATGTCATCTACAAGATCCCCTGCAGACTGTGAGAAACACTACATCGGACAAACAGCAAGTAAACTAACAACAACTAACAACTGGCTACAAAAAGACACGACCAATACTCACTCATCTCAATCCACATGGACAAGGAAAACCACCACTTCGACTGGGACAACACCAAGATCCTGGGACAGGCTAGGCAGAGACAGGCACGAGAATTCCTAGAAGCATGGCACTCCACGAAGCATGCTATTAATAAACACATTGAACTCGACCCCATATACATTCCACTATGAAGGAAACCTGGAAGTGAGGCAATTCATCTCAACGGACCCCAGAGTTTAAAAACCAGGCGGGAAAACACACCGACACTTCATCGGAGGCTGCATTAAGGATGTTACCAAGCACGGTAACGAAACGTCTGCGAAACAAGAAACCAGCTCGGCGAGCCAACCAACTTCAACAACCTCAACACCCACAACCCAAGCTACAAATCTACTCCAAAACCTTAGGGGAAGATCATGGCTAACAAATTTGTTTGAACTTTTCAAGGAGGTAATTAGCAATGTACATATGGGTTGTGCAGTGGATATAGTCTACATAGACTATTAACAAGATCTTGCATGGGAATCTAGTCAAGAAGAAGAGACCATGGGATCCAGGGAAATTTGGCAAATTTGTTCCAAAACTGGATTTGTGGTAGGAAGTAGAGGGTGCTGGTTGAACATTGTTTTTGTGACTAGAAATTTGAATCCAGTGATACACAATAATGTTTGGTACTGGGCCCATTGCTGTTTGTAGCATACATTTAGGATCTAGATATGAATGTAGGAGGTATGATCAGTGAGTTTGCAGATTACACAATAATTGGTAGTATTGTATATAGTGAAAGCCTTAGACTACAGGTCAACATAGATGGGCTGGTAAGATGGTGAGAACAATGGTAGATGGAACTTAATACTGAAAATTATAAGGTGATGAATTTTGGAAGCACTGACAAGATAAGGGAGTACAATTTGAATGGTAGGACCCTAGGATGTGCAGAGGATCAGAGGGACCTTGGTGTGTATGTCCAATAACCCTTGAAGGAAGTAGGACAGGTAGGTATGGTTTTAAGAAAACATTTGGGATACTCATTTTTATTTGTTGAGGTGTTGAATGAAATAGGAAGGAGGTTATGATGGAGTTTTATGTAATGTTAATCCACAGCTGGAGTACTGTGTGTAGTTCTGGTTGCTGTACAACATTATTAGGTGCATAGTTAAGGTAAATAGGAAGAAACTTGTCCCCTTTGTAAAGGGGTCAATAACAAGGAGGAGTAAATTTAAGGTACGGCGCTGGAGATTTAAAGGAAATTTGAGACAATTGTTTTGCACCCAGAGGGTGGGAGTTTCTTGAATTCACTACCTGAAGGGGTGATAGAGACAGAAATCCACACAACATTTAACAAACTATTTAGAAGAACAAACACAGCTGAGCTTGAGGGAGATCAAACAGAAGGAACCTTGTTAGAAAGATTTTTTTTCATCTCAATAAACAAAATAGACCCAGAGCTGCATATCTACAGCTGTTTGAAGTGTAGTGCACAAAGAGGCTTGAATTCTTCAGGGACACTGTCACAGAGTAGTGTTGCTTCTTATAAGGACCCACAACTGTCTGTCACAGCATATTATTGTCTGTTGCAATCAAGGTCACTGCAGCTTGAGGTTTATTGCCTCTGGCTTCTTCCTGGCTGTCACATGAATATCAGTGACACCTCTCAATCTGCCCCATTCTTGAATTAAGATCCTGACAGTAGCCTTGCTTGTTACAGAAAATGCATTCATAATTTTCCAATTTGATCTATGGAAACAGCAGGATAAGCACATTGAGTTTGCACAATTTGTTATATTCTTCCAAGTCCAGTGATTTATTAAGTTCTGAAGAAGCCAGATCAAACTCAAAATGTTAACTGTTTCGCTATACACAAATGTTGCTTTCAAACCTGCTGACGTTCTCCAGCATTTTCTGTTTTTATTTCAGCTTTCCAGCATCCGCGGTATTTTGCTTATTACTTGAGTGTTCAATTCACTGCCATTTCCTTGCCAGGTATGCACGGTTTAAGGAAGTTCTGTTTCTTCTCCCTGACAGGATTTCTGTTTAAAATTTCCAGCTGAAGAAGAGTCACATTGGACTCGAGCCATTAAATCTGTTTTGCTCTACGGATGCTGCCAGACCTGCCGAATTTCTCCAGCAGAGATAGTAGGAACTGCAGATGCTGGAGAATCTGAGATAACAAGGTGTACAGCTGGAGGAACACAGCAGGCCAAGCAGCATCATAGGACCAGTAAGGCTGACGTTTCGGGCCTAGACCCTTCATCAGAAATGGGAGAGGGGAAGGGGGTTCTGAAATAAATAGGGAGAGAGGGGGAGGCAGATAGAAGATGGATAGAGGAGAAGATAGGTGGAGAGGAAACGGACAGGTCAAAGAGGCGTGGATGGAGCCAGTAAAGGTGAGTGTAGGTGGGGAGGTAGGGAGGAGATAGGTCAGTCCAGGGAGGACGGACAGGTCAAGGGGGCGGGATGAGGTTAGTAGGTAGGAGATGGGGGTGCGGCTTGAGGTGGGAGGAGGGGATAGGTGGGAGGAAGAACAGGTTAGGGAGGCGGGGACGAGCTGGGCTGGTTTTGGGATGCGGTAGGGGGAGGGGAGATTTAGAAGCTTGTGAAATCCACATTGATACCATTGGGCTGCAGGGTTCCCAAGCGGAATATGAGTTGCTGTTCCTGCAACCTTCAGGTGGCATCGTTGTGGCACTGCAGGAGGCCCAGGATGGACATGTCGTCTGAGGAATGGGAGGGGGAGTTGAAATGGTTCGCGACTGGGTTGGTTTTTGTTTCATTGACTGAAATGTTGCCACTCTATCAGTTCCTTCATGCAACTACACAACCATCATAAATCATAATGGTTTCCAAATGTGACGATAGTTTATTATAATGATGTTATATATAGAAGAAAGACTATTATTTGAGATCAATGTATAAAGTTGAGGAGATACTCACATCAAGAGCTACAGATTGCTTTGCCCAGGATTTCTTCACTTGATCATACATAATGGTGTTGTTGATACCGAGTCCACAGAAAATTACGAATGCCTGGAACAGGTATCAACAGAAACGTAATTGATCAAAATGTAAGTTTTATTTGTGTCATCTTTCTGTATAGTCAAAGACTCTGTATTAATAATAATGGCTCTAAATTTTAAAGTCGTTGCTTGACACGAAAATGTTTACTTTTATCACTTCAATTCAGATTGTGACAAAAAAGTCTCAGTGCAAAATTGGGGCATATTGCATAGTTTTCTCGTTCTTCTCAATATATTGATTACTACTATGCTTCAAATATATTTTATTTGTTTTTCACCCACCTGATTTCACAGACTATTATAATCTCTGAAATTATAATGCAGATTTTGAGGGTTAGAAGTTATTTTCTTTGTCTTTAAAAAATGATCTGGTGAAAATAAAATCACAATCTAGAAAGCACAGCAGTAATTTGTGCTTTTAACTATCTACTGTTATGTTTAATGGCGAACACTTCTCCAATTCTGTAACTACCAAATTGAATTGGTTACATCAACATTATAAATTGTCTCCATGGAATGTTGCTCAATAAAATAATTCTTGTGATTGATTTTCAGCAATCTGCAACTAAGCCTATATACAGTGAATTGAAGTTATATATGGAATGTGACAACTTCTTAAAATGTTCGATGTAACTTCTCAAGGGCAACTAGGGATTGACAATAAGTACAATTCCAGCCAGTGATGTCCATGTTCCGTGAATGAGTAAAAGAAATACAATGCAGAAAAAAAATTAGTTCTAAAACATTGAAAATATTTCAGTCCCCTTTCTTCCTGCAAACTGGTCCTGTTTTTCTGAACTTTATGATGAATGCTAAGAAATGGAAAATTTTAATCAAATAAATTGAAAATACTTTGCTGACGTATTAACGTCTTCTTTCAAATATTTTCACATGTTGAAAACTTTGCAATTGCAAATGTAAATGATGATTGTCCACTGTAATAAGATGCTGTAATGAAATTAATACTTTCTAATTTCAAATATGACTAAACCTATTAAAATGAAGTGCTTTATAACTTTATCACTTGTTTTTACATTGGCACAGACAAATATTTAATGGTACTGGTATGTACATTTTGTAAATTTTATGTTTGGAATGGTACAGCTTAATTAAACACTAGCTTAATTAAGGCATTTAAAATGGAATATTACATATTCTATTTCTATCTACATCCCTTACCCTCCCAAAAACATTCACTAGTGCATGCCAGAAATGGGTCTTCCTTGTTGACTGATTTCCTGTATGTGCTAAAAATAAGTTTTTGAGGTCCCACACCGACTGTGGGTGTGTTGTGTGCAATTTTCCATTCAGGGAAATCACTGATAAGAGTTTACAAAATTAAGCCCAAAATATTAATTAACATCTAAGCTTAAACAGTGAGCCCTTTGTGTTTCTCAGAAGTTAGAAGTCTAGACAGCAAATAAAATATTCTTCATAAAAGCATTGTTCTTCATGTGAACAATGCTTTTACTACAATACAGTGCAATGTAGTGCAACACTTTGCGGAACAATCAGAAATGGATCGAGAAAGAAAAATGAGCTTTACAAAGCATGAAGAGCAAGGAGGGTTTAGACTGAAAAGATCATTGGAAAATTTCAGAAGCATTTTAAAGCAGTGATTGGAAATCAATGCAGTGTCTGGAATGAGTATAGCCACAGGCATTAAACACAATCACAAGAAATTCTTTGTAAGAGCAATAGTCCAAAAGGGAAGGAGATCAGGCCAGATTTTTGCAGAGTTGGAAGGATTCTGGAGCCAGTTAAAAATGTCAGCTAGGATCAGATTCTAAGACTTCCCACACCTTTCTTGGCATCCCAAATTTATTTGCCATGTACTCCCAACCAGGCTCCATCACAAGGGTAGGCATTTCTTAAACCCCAGCAATTTTCATGGATTCAAAATGGTTCATGAATCTCAAACTAAACCATGGTTTGGATTCAGGAACTTTTTGAATGGTAACTTCAAAATGTCTTTTCCATGCCCCATCCATGTCAACCCAATGCCATCACATGTTATCTCATAACGATTCATGCCTCCCACTTTTCCATGCCCATTTACGCATTATATACTATGTACAGAACCAACGAATCCTATAGTAACAAGAGTATGTGTGAAATGGCTTTAAAAAATCATTTATGCAAAATTATTTCAAATACATCTGGCCTATTACCTATGACAGTACAATCAAATAAAAATGTATAATTTACAGCAACTTTAAGCACTTTGTACCTCTTGGGCTTGTGAAAATAAATAGAGACATTGACATAAGAGATTGTAAAATAAATACCTTAAAAAGAGATGTCAATCAAACAATGTCGATTCTTCTCTGCACCCTGTATAATCAAACTCATATAACCCTTTTATGATAGTTTGAGCTCTCAAAATTTAACTTCTCTGCAGGATATTATTCACTGACAATAGTATGGAGTTTGCTGGCTTTCAGTCTAAATTACGCCAGTATATTTTTTATGCTACAAAATTGTCTCAAATTATGCTACAGCTTGTCTCGAAATAAGGGAATACTAATTGATTTCTTTACCTCAAACAGTCTCTGGTCATCATCATCAAATGGCTTTCCATCAAGCCTATTGAGGACCTGTGCCACACCTGAAAGTTAAATAATTGTGATTCGCACACGTAATGACCTGAAAGCCTATTACTGAGTTACAAAATCAAAAGATAAATTGTTTTAATATGATGTTTAAAGAAACTGATATGAATATTATCATTTTTGCAGAATTCTTTTTGAAAAGAATAATACTTTCTCTTTAAAGGAACTCATATTTGCTTTTGTTCCTCTTTATGTGATTCCTTGTCTTACACAGCATGTAGTACTGAGAGAGAGAGCACGAGCGACCTTCTGCCAGTAAGTTCTGAAAGGATCCACTGAGCACATTTGTGAGTGGACAGATCTTAGAGTCATAGAGTCATGCAGCACAGAAACAGACCCTTTGGTCCAGCTTGTCCATGCCAACCATTCATCCCAATCTGACCTCGTCCCATTTGCCAGCATTTGGCCCATATCCCTCTAAACCCTTCCTATTCACACACCATCCAGATACCTTTTAAATGTTGTAACTGTACCAGCCTTCACCACTTCCTCTGGCAGTTCATTCCAAATATACACCACACTCTGTGTGAAAAAGTTAGTCTCAGGTCCTTTTTAAATTTTTGCCCTCTCACCATAAATCTATGCCTATAGTTTTGGACTCACCCTTCCTCAAAAAAACACCTTGGCTATTCACCCTATCCATGCCTCTCATGATATTATAAACCTCTATTAGGTCACCCCTCAGTCTCCAATGCTGCAGTGAAAAAGCCCTGGCCTATTCAGCCCCTCCATATAACTCAAACCCTCCAGTCCCCGCACCCTCTGCATCCTCTCAAATTTAATAACATCCTTCCTATTGAAGGGCGATCAGAATTGTACACAGGATTCTAAAATTGGCCTCACCGATGTCCTGTACAGCCACGTCAAGACCTCCCAACTCCTGTACTCAATATTCTGACCAACGAAGGCAAGCATGCCAAACGCCGTCCTCACCACCCTGTCTAATTGACACTCCACTTTCAAGGAACTATGCACCTGTACCACTAGGTCTCTTCATTCAGCAATACTCCCCAGGACCCAACCATTAACTGTATAAGTCCTGCCCTGATATTTTGTTTAAACTGTACAAATTGTATGCATACTGCTTGGTTTGGCCACATTATGATACGGCTACATCTCCACGAAAAGCTGTCACTCCTGTACCATTCAAGGCGTGTATCAGTGATGTCCAACACATCCTGTTCATCATGGGATTAATCATTTCTCACTTATTGGCTCATATGGGTTTTCTTCAAACAGAATAGCACTGCCTGGAAGTAAATCAATCCTCAGTACTGCTCCACAATCAGCTAATAGAAAGAGTATTCAAATGAGGGAGACAGAACCAAACAGTCAGCTTTTCCTTTGCTTTCCATGGAGGGACATCTAATTTTTGTATTTTACTGCATTTTGCCACTCACACAACTTGGCTGTGAATTGCGGAAATAAAGAGGAAATCAGCATAACAGGGACGGCTGGAAATTCCACCAGACTTGTCCCAGGAAAAGGTTTTTCTCTTTTGTTATTTGTCTCTTCAAGAACATATTCATTTCAAAACATGTATCAAATTAATTGTTGGAATAAAATTAAAACTAATTGAAGGAATCACTAAATACATACCAATTATCTGATGGGCACTGTTCCATATTGGTACACACAGAACTGAACGGGTGTGGAAGCCAGAAATCTGATCAGCCTAAATGCAAACACATAAAAGTTCCTATAAATGCTGTATTTGATAATAAAAGTGGGACTTCAATCTTAACTGAGTCCTGATGGAATTGATGCATAGTAGAAGTTAGACAACAAAATTTCTGGCACTATCAATGATTGGTATAGCAAAGCATCACTGTTGACTAAATTAGAAGAATGATTTATGTGCAAATCCAAAGTAGGTAAGCATTAAGTAAGTAATAATTAATAACATATAATTGTTTCCAGATTGCAGTCAGTATAAAGTTACCCCAGCATGTACATAGTTAATTGCATTCCTATGAGGATACGCTGCAGATTATGACTCTGTTTTGGTCAAGCAGTAATAAATGAGACATTAATACTGCACCATTCTGTCGTATGTTCTATATTTAGAGGTTAATAAGCTGCAAAATACCTAGACAAAAGATCTTTATGGCTTTAAGGAACAAATATGTCAAATCATTCAGTAATATACAGTACTTGTAATCCTATAATGTGACCTTTCTGTACCATGTAAAAGTTTATGGAGTAGCACGGAGATTATTCTGGAAAGTATAATGTTTCCAGACAATATGCAGTATAGTTCAATAATTCCCTTTGTTTCAATACAGACTCCTTAAACCAGGTTTATTTTTTAAAATTCATTTGAATGTAAATTTGTCAGTCAGTGAAATTTACACCTAACGATTTTAGTATGGATATTCTAAACTAAAGCCACAAATGTGTGTTAACAGTAAATTGTGATTTGTACTTCCCTAGCCGGGTAATACATAAAGAAAAAAACTTTAAAAATTATTTGAATCCTTGTTTACTAGTTTAATTGATGAGGTCAGCATATGACCGAATCATACAGAACATAAGGCTTTATGGTCAATTTTGAGCCAGTGGGGTGCTAGCTAATCTTATTGCCCTCAGTGTCCTTGGCTACAGATGACTCAGATGGGTTCTGTGCTCCTGATGACTACCCCAATTGCAGCAGTTGTACAAATGTAGATGGGAATAGGACTATGTTCAGCTCCAATTTTCCCCCTCTGCCCATAAATGAATAATCTATTTATGTTGTTTGGTTTCACACAAGCAGAATGACCCTTTTATTGAGGTATTGGATAGCATCAACATCCATTGAGCTACATCTAACATGAGTCACAGCTTACGTTATGAGAAGACAGAAAATGGAAGGAGATAGTAGGAACTGCGGGTGCTGGAGAATCTGAGATAACAAGGTGTAGAGCTGGATGAACACAGCAGGCCAAGCAGCATCAGAGGAGCAGGAAAGCTGATGTTTCGGGC